CTAAATTAGAGACGGCTAGCGCAGATAGCCCTCGTGTAGCTTTGCGCGAAATTCAAAAAACAAACAAACAAAATATTAAAATGAAAGTTTTAGGTTTTTATCAACAACTACAATTAAATAATTTTGTTTTCCAACAACATCGGTATTAATATCATACAAAATAAATTATTTACACTTCTCAAAATCAAAAATAATGTTTTTCATGATCTGATTTTCTCATTAAAATAGTCAAGGTAAATTTGAAAAAAAAAAATCTCAAATGTGTTGTTGTACAATTTTAGTAAAATCGGTAGAATTAAAGACACCATTGTTTAAAATACTATCCAAAATATTAACACAATTAATGAGCAACAAGGGCCTTACGATAACTGCAGAATAGTTTATTGTTTAGTTGTAATTAAGCACAAAGCTACACAATGGACTATCTGTGCTCTGCCCACCACGGGTTTTGAAACCCGGATTCTAGCGTTGTAAGTCCACTTCAGAATAGTAACTCCACAATATTCTGTTAACAATAATAAAATACTAGTATGACAACAGTCTTTGTTTTCTACCTCCAATCCGATATTATCTTTTCCTTTCCTTTTTTTTTGTTATCAATTACATAAATGAAAAAAAAAAAAAACACCGAACACACTTTTGTGTTTTATGTGCAACTTCACTCATACAGTCACATTTTTTTATACCAGGGGGACAAATATTGAAATTATTGACACCTTACAATTCTGTTTCGTATTTCCATTAATTTATCATATATATGTAACAACGTTTTACGATAAATAATCTTCATAGATTTTCTTTACATTAAAAATAGAAAATTTAGCTTTTGATGCAACGCGCATCTTCTTTAAAAACAATAATGAAGGCAGTATTTTGTTTTATTGTTTCTTTATCTTAATTGTTACAATATTCTGAAAAATATTATTTCAATTATCTGCATTTTTCATTTCATGAACTTAATCTTGTGTCTTGTTTCAACCTCTTCTTTATAAAAAAAATTCATTTTGATCTCATTATCAATGTATGAGATCAGAGGATTTAGGTCGTTGTCGTGGTCAGGTGTTGGGTAAACTAAATATTGTAATTAGGCAAGATTTTTCCTAAGGACGGCAAATACTTTTTGACAATTCTCTTTCAAATATTTTGCAATAAGATGGAAGTAGGAAGAAAAAATTCAGATATCCTCCGATTTCACATATCCGTTTTGGTGTTGGCTATAATTCTGTATTACTTCACCCTCTGCTGGTTATGTGGAAACCTTTTCTCCATTGGTAAAAAAAGGTACAATAAACTACGCTGTGGGGAAGCAGCTGGAATTTCTTTTGGTTGAAATCTGCATGGCCTGGTGGTTAAGGCGCTCGTCTCGCAATCTCAGGGTCGAGGGTTCGAATCCCCGTCACCGAACATGCTCGCTCTTTCAGCCGTGGGGGCATTATAATGTGACGGTCAATTCCACTTTTCGTTGGTAAAAGAATAGCCCAAGAGTTGGCTGTGGATGGTGTTCACTAGCTGCCTTCCCTCTATTCTAGTCTTACACTGCTAAACTAGGGACGACTAGCGCAGATAGCCCTCGTGTAGCTTTGCGCGAAATTCAAAACAAACAAACAAACTGTTATACGAGATAGACCACTTCCCATGATAATTCAACTATATAGGTCGTTTCCTTTATCTTTAGAAATCTTGCTGAAGCATTATTACAGTTTAAATAGTAGAATAAAAGAAATCAAAGTCCAGTAGTTGTTGTAAAAGCAATTTTTTCTTTCATCCCTTTCTTCACTTCAACCTTCCAAACTCCACCCTCGAGGCCCAAAGTTGTAAACCGAGTGCAGAATCAATTCTTTGTGATGCCATTCATCTTCTTGTGATTGCGACACAGAAGCGGGTAAATTAATTTTCATCCTTTACAATTACCATAACTGATGCCCAAGCATAACTAGTAATCCTTGTATCATAGCTTCTGTCTCAATATCGACTTCTCTTTGGCAACAGGGTACCGATCCAACTGTCAAACCACCATGACAGTTTTGTGGCACCCTTTACTTGCTCGCTCTACAGTGTCTTTTGATTCACCTAATATCTACAACAGATTGCGGAGACTGTTGAAGTATGCGAGTTGTACACATTGCTAGTGAATCCCTAGCTGTGATAAATGAAACTACCTATATACTGTATCTGTTATTTCAAATGACAGCCCTCGCTTGCCAGTGCTCCACTTTTAGTCCCCCTGAGGGACAGCGGTAAGTC